AAGACGAGAGAATTAATGGAACTATTTAGAAAACAAAACAAACGAACCCTTGTATATATTATATACACACACACACATATATAAAAAAACAAATATCTACACTAAAAAAAAACTGATTTTATTCTTTGACACAAAAAAAAAAACATAACTGGTTTTATTTCAAAACCCGCGACTGGTCAAAATATTTTAATGCAAAGTCCATAAGGGCTGGCTGGCCATGGGGCACTGATGGAAAAATTAAAACCCTTCAATCAATCTCTTTCAAAATTGGACCACCCTTTGCACCATTTCTGCTTCCGAGTTCGTCTTAAATCACCCATATAAATCCAGCATAATTATTGAAATGGGTACGCGATACGTGATTTTTATTTTTATTTTTCAATTAGATGGACCCATGAACGATCATTTCAAACTTGAATTTTGTATTTTTTTTTTGGTATTTGGGAATGAAACATTTCATGAGTGTCTCTAGAATCTGAAATTTTAAGTTTACAGTAAAATAGTTAAAAAAAAACATGACATCTCTGTTAGAGATAAACGATTTTGTTAGGTTAGAAACAAAATCTATGTACATAATATTTTCTAATAACAAAATCTAAGGCAAGAACTTGAAAAATGGTAGTGAGTAAATAAATCTTGTGAATTTCAGTTATAATTACAATTATATGTATATATATATGTATATAATAAGCGGCAGACCAATGATGTGTTACATCTTTGAAACGAGACAAATCCAACAGCATAGTAACACCCAATTTGGTTCACGTGATGGCGCATTAAAAAAAGCGTCGAATATTATAAAAACTTTAGCTTTTTGGCTACGGAAAAAAAAAAGAGAGAATAAAAATAACAAAAAATGTAATAAAAAAATAAGAATAAGAAAATGTTTTTGTGTGTAAAGGAGGACATAAGGAGAGAACTTTTGCATTGGGTTCCATGGAGTGGCTGCTTGTGGGCCCATTTCTCATCACCGGCTTTCTTTTTTTTTAATTAAATGTTTATCTCCTCTTCGTTATTAAATTAAACACCAAAATTAACCTCTAATTATACAATTTTCTTTAGTGTAAATTAATTTCCATTAATAAGATCTTTTATTTATTTGATGCTGTGCTTTTTTTTTTGATCTCATTCAATTGTTTATCTACAAGGACATAAGATGTATCTTTCAATTATTTTTTATTTTATTTTTTTACTTGGAATTTTTTTTGGTATTTGAAAATCTATGACTAACCGATTTTACTTTTAGTTTTTATTTCTATTCAAATTGGGTTTAGTTTTCATTACAAACATATTTAATATTTTTTTTTAAAATGTTTATTTTAATATATATTTTTTTTTGAAAATTTCAATATCCCATTTGAATTTAATTCATGTACAACTGTTAAATCATGCAAATTGGGAATACATATTATTGGGGTATGTAATTATTCTAACTTTCCTGTTCCATTTGTGATTCCGTTCCTCATTTATATCACTTCACTTTACCTCACTACAAGATTCCTTCGTGAAAAGAGAAAAGTATCAGAACCAACCTTTGTTCATGTCTATCTTGGTTCATAATGTCCAACAATGCGTTCGTTTTTTCTTCTTTAGGCTATTATGCATACATATGTACACGTCAACATGTACATCAGTACACGTATGTGTGTGTATGTACGTATGTATGCATATGTGTGTATGTGTGTAAAGATTGGTGTCTGAATCGATCCGATCTGTCTACATGTTAAAGAATGTAAAGTCATGAATGTGTACGTACGTACGTACGATGTGGACCGATCATCATGCCATTATATTTAGAAAAAATACTATATATATATAAACCATACAAAAGCCCTTCATTTCAATTAATGTATATTTATCATGTTCAAGTGCCAAGATTTTGATAATAATAAACACGTGTGCGTGTGTATACATATATATATATATATATATATATGGGTATATGTCGTGGAAGATGAAAACAGGAATATCGCAGTGACGAGAGGCTAGACAAGATTAGGGTTTTTTCTGGTACCGTCGAAACAAAGGTTTTGGCGGGAGAGTATTGAGAAGAGAAAGAGACGTGTGAGATTTAACCCCATCTTCTTTCTTCTGTTGTCTCCACTACTTTCGTCGTCTTCCCCACCATTTCTGAACATCCAATCATCACCCCCATGGATCGAACATATACACTTTTATATATGTTTAACTCTACGTATATACACATGTACATACATGTCAGCATGTGCAATATTGCTTACATGGATATAACTTGTAGCTTTGTCGCACGACAATAAGATTGTACACAACCGCTCGATGTCCCGCGTAAGTGGCATGCATCCATCATCATCGTCATCATCATCATCATCTCCACCATCCAACCACATGGCACAATAAGTTATTCTACATGGAATTTAGACGCGATATACTCGAGGTATTACCATGGTCAATTATTATGCACATATGGGATCCATTAAGTTTCTAGACATAACGAAATAGATTTGTCTCTTTTGCAATACAACTTTTATTATCATTCAAATCATAATGAATATGTCCACACACACACACATATATCGTCGTATTAGATTCTAGATAACATGCCTTTTGATCATTCTGTGATCAATATGATGACAATTTATATGTGATATCTACATCATCAATAATATTCATCCAATAAAATTTTGTGCGGTGTCACAATAGTATTGAATAAGCTTGCTTTTCCTTTTTTTTTTTGAAAAATTATATAACATATTAATTAGGTTTTGTAGGGCAATTATCAAATACAGTTATAGGATTAATTTGTTTAAAAAAAACGTGTATTTGGACTTTATTTTGGTCGGCTCGGGCTAGACCCCACGATTGTTGAAGGTTGGAACTTAGACACGAAATCACCACCTTAGACATAAAATTAAATAAAAATTCATAAAATATAATCAAATTGGACATTTTTATAATGTAGTTTATGATCATAAATCTGTCACATGTAATTGCTTAGCCTTGCATTACATTGTTCAGTAAATAGGATAACTAAACCTAACAGTGTTCAGAGTATCAATTAAAATCGAATATAAAAAACAAATTACATTAATTAAATCCTAACAATAAATTTAAAAAATAAAAGAGGAAATTATAGGATTAAGTAAGTCATTTGCATTTATCGTTTTCCTTGCAACTAATCTTCAAAGGTGTCAATTGTCAGAAACGCTCCGCTGTCTAAATTCATTTTCAAACCCAACCCACATGAACACGCTCTTCAAGGTCGCGTGTACACCACTCTCCTGTCAAATTACATTTATTAAATCTATTGACATAAGTCCTTAAATAAGATATATTTATAGTAAAGAAACCTGAAGGGGCCACCGATACGAAGACGATTTAAGGAATAAAAAGAAGAAGGAGAAGAATATAATCAAATTCACCTTTTTTCTTCTTACATATATTAACAAAACCAAGTAATTTGCCAAAAATTAATTTCATTCACAATTTTGCATGATTTTCAAGGGTTTTTTTTAAATTGAAGATTCAGTAAAAGGAAAAAAAATTTAAAATTTGAAAGACATGAAATGGGTATTAATTGGCATTGAAATGAAACCGAAAGGATTTGTGGCTGTTGAGTCACGTAACTTGCCTTGTGTAGACGCACCGCTTTTATTTTAGTCCACCTTCAAAATTCCGAAAATAATCGGCATATTAATTTGAAAATTATTTGATATAGCATATCCAAATTGATATGCACTTTCGTTTATGATATATTGCTACTATAACATAACATAAAAACTATATCATATATACCTTATTTTACCCCCCCCCCCCCCAAAAAAAAAAAAAAAAAAAAAAAAAAAACAAAAAAAAGGTT